TCTATTCATGTTCCGAGCTGGAGTTATTGCTGTGCCGGTTGTTAGCTTCACCCTGACTGCTAATTTGTTAGGAGCAAGCTATTCTGTTAGTCCATACGTGCCTGACACCTGTGAGAATTTTCTGCTAACAGATGACCGCAATTAGTCACAAGTTACTGTTGACGTGAAAGGGATTCTTCTGTGTGAAGTCGTCTGTGTGAGAAATAACCATCTACACCGTGTCCTCACCACAGGGTGCTGTGACCACAGATTAATTGCATTCAACGTCTCTGCAGATAGACAATCCGCACAGCTACCTTGCTGGTATCCTGTTCCGTCAAGGATGCAAACCCAAAGAAGTCGCAGAAACACCTCTGGAGAATGAATTTCCATGCTCCGGGTGTTAGACAGACCTCATTTGGAGGGTATTTTCCACTTCTAAACAAAAAAAAGCAGCATCCGCAGAGGTGAGAAATGAACCAAAGTCCTAACCACTGGAGCACACAAGAGGCTGAAATTCAAAAGAAATTGGATTTTTTAAAAAGATTTCAGATTGTATTCAGAGGTGGCACATCCCAGAGCTCCCACACACATCACGCTGCAACTCCCATTCCCTGAGATGGGCTGAAAAAATATATAAGTGTAATAATAACAATTTTAATCCTTACATCTGATAGCGCTGGGGAGGACAACTCAAAGTACAATATACTGTAAAGTGAGATTACTGTGTATTTTGTAGGAAAATCCAGCAGCCAAGTTGCACAGAGCAATTTCCCACAAACAGCCAAGAAGTGAATGGCCCATTTTACTCGGGGGATTTTGGCTCAGGACACCGGGAACAACTCCCTTCTCAATTGTTTTATTAGAAGTATTATTTGTACTTCCCCATATGCAGCAGCCGCACTTGTGCAACACGCAATACTTATTGAGGGAGTTTATAGAACCGTGTAACAACTTGCAGCTACACAGGGCCCTTCATCCGGGTAGCGTCTCAAATACTTAACGACATCATGGTTTGACACCAGAGCCAGAAAGTGGGTGAGGGAGGGGGGTGGGTGGAAGAAGGTGACTGAAGGCACGGTCAAAGAGGAAAGTCTTTGGGTGTGATTTGAAGATGGGCAAAGAAGGGCATGACAGAGGAGTTGAGGCAGGGAACTCCAGAGAATCAGGGTAAACTGGCTGAAAGTGCGGCCACAAATTATGCAACAGAGGGAACGAGGAATGTACAGCAGAACAGGTTAGCTGAGTGAAGGTGGATGGTAAAGGAGTGGGATGTGAGCAGATCAGAGAGAGGTAGGGAAGTGAAGCAATTTGAAAATGAGAGTAAGGATATTGAAATGAAGCCTGGTATACAGAAAGGTGTGGAAGGAAAAAGGGTCAAACTCATTGAGAAAATGAGAGGGTGGTGGTGGGTGGGGGGAACGGCAAGACAGATTTATTTTAATAGAATACAGTTTCAACTCAGAAGAGAACTATATTTCAAGCAGTGGACTCCCAACTCTGCTTAAGAACAAAAACAAATTAGACTGCAATCAGAACATAGATAACGGTTGAAGGGAGCAAAGGAGGATGCAACATTGGGAGGGGTTGGGGGCAATGAGATTTATGGTTATAATATATTCAGGTCCATTTTAAAATATTCTAAACCCTAATGAATATTCACCTTGTTGCAGATCAAATCTGCCTCATTTCACAGAATCTCAGTGCAACTAAACCGAATTAAAGCAACTACTATCATCCAGTGCTGTAACAGGGTCTGAGAGAGATTCTCAAATCATACCATTAAACATTCTAAGTCTGATCCGCCTGAGGCATTTGCATCCAGCCCACAGCAGTAATTAATTTTCCTTTACAGTCGGTAAACAAATCCATCAGCCTCCATGGGTGATCAATGATAAGCTCACTCAGACGATGGTTGAATCAATAGCTTATCAATGCGAATTGAGGCGGAAAGTTATCTGTCGAGATGAGGGCTATGAATAGGGTCCGTAAAGAGCACACCAGATATATTTAAACAAGATAGTGGGAGGTCCGAAATACTCATAGGGCTGTGTGATCAATATCCAGCCACAAATAGAGCGCACTTTCTGATATAATTAAGTATTATCCAACAAGCAAGAGGAAATGATCGACGAGGGCTGTCCGGTTATTCACACCCAGTGGATTCTTGCGAGAATCCCACAGAAACAGAGCGATGAATTGCAACTCTGGCCACATTCATCACAGGTAAATTTCTTGTGAGAAAAAGGTCACATTAGCATAAAAAGTTTTTTTTCCCCACACATTTGTTTTAAAAAAAGCAGTAAAAAGTGGAGCAAAAATACAAACCCTATTCATTCTAAACATCATCTCGCAAAGATCAGTCACCCACTAATGTGTTAAACAACACTGATGGGGGCGGGGGGTGTGGGGGGAAAGGATTGAACATGTATTTGGCTAACAAATCACCCAGGGGATTTTTTCCTTGCTTCACGGCTGCTTGTTGAGACGCTGCGAACCGAATGCAAGGAGTATTGTTTTATTTAGAAAAGGATTCAGAACGTTTCGGGGTTAAAAAGTGCCAGAAAAACAGTCACTGCGCTGGTTAGTAACGACGGACGTTATGAAAAGAGAAGGCTTTCTTAAAACAATAACAGATTATCCTTTCCTTACTTATTTGTAAGAGATTATTGATTTTTTTTAAACAAAGAGATAAATGACGGTATTTGCCACCAAATCGTTGCAAAATGGGCTTCTGCACAGTTTGAACCCAGGTTCACTTTAAAAGCATTGACCTTTTCTCAAGGCTGTCACACTTTTGCCCGTGAAACAAAGGCCCATTTTATGTTGACAACACTTATTTGGAAAGTAGGGACTGCAGTTGCCTCATTCCTCCATTAACGTATGCTGTCCACGTATACAAATTGGCTGCCTAATTCGCCTGCAAAGTACACAGTCACTACACTTTACCCTGTGAAGTTTTATGAAACATCCTCCAGGCATGAAGGTGGGGGGGTGGGCGGGAACACTGTGTCAAATTCAAAGATTATTAGGATTAACGATTATCTTTTCTTTCCCCTATTTCGGAAATTACTTAAAAGGACCATAAAAAGAATTACAAAGTTAGCACAGTCTCCATGTTTATTACGATGAATTATCACCATGCAGTGAATTGTTATTTTAATAATTCTAGAAAGGGGGTTCTGCGTGAACTCTCCCGACTCGATTTCAGACCACATTTCACCAGAAAGAACAGGTGCTTGTTTTATCCGAGTTGCTGCGAATTACACATTCAAAACGAGGGGATTAGGAGTCAAAGGTGCTCTTTGTCTTGCAAAAGGAATGTGCGATGAGTGGGAAAGAGGAGGGGTGGGTGGGTGGGGGAGAAGAAGAAGAAAAATCAATGATCTGAAACACAAAGAGATTTATTTGCCTGCAGGGTTATAACTCGTTACAAAAGCACTAGTGTGGCAGCAGTGCGGATTCTGAAAAATGTAGGGATTTCTTATCATTAAACCCGTCAAGTTTTTAAAATAGCTTTTTTTTGGTAATCGTTGCCCTTTCTCTGCTGTTTATCTTCTCTTTCCACAGATAGAAGAGTTGAGAGGTTGAGGGAAGGAGGGAGAGAGGGAGGGAGGACGGACACGGGTAGGCCTTCCGCCCCTAGAATTTGATTCATTTTGCCCCTTTAATGACCACTAGGAGGCACACACGAGTCGCCCGCTCTACAACAATACTCCTCGCATTTGATGTCAACGCCTAGTAATGTCTCAAGAGCTTCATGGGCAATTGCTGTCAACTGAGGCGAAAGACCATTTGCAGGCAAACACAAACACAAACTCCCTATTTGAGGAATGATTCCCTCCTCTGCTCAGCGCTTTCCTGTAAGGACTTCACCATGTGAAAAGTGGGGCAGGGGGCAGAAAGATAAGACAACGCTGCATGCTGGAATCATGTGTGTTGCAGCGCCATGGACTGGACAGAAAGTCGTACCAGAAACCGCCATAGAAGCCCGCTGGGCTGGGGACAGCTTGCAAAAATTTCACTGAAAGGCTTTGTGCAGGAACTTATTTGATCGTTCAGCAAGTCACTCTTGCAAGGCTAATCTGTGAAATCAGAAGCGGGCTGTGGAAATCATTCCCTGCACATCAGGGCAGGCAAAACACAAGCATCTGCCTCTTAGCTCAGGTAAGACACCATACCGCAAATCACCATCCGAAAGAACAACCATTCAGCCGCTGGTTCAGCCATGCACTGCCCTTTATTGCGTGTGTGTGAGAAAACACAACACAAATGAAATATGAATCTATCTCCTTTTTAACAAAAAGGGTTACTTTCTTATCGCCTCCACTCAAGCAAACCAGAAACTGCAACTGAGGTATATCTTGATTCTGAAAAGCAATTGCTCTGTGCAGGAAACAATTGGCTGCAAACGTTGAGATAACGCAATCTAAAGGGAAGGGAAAAAAATTACCCTTACATTCAGTATAGCGCCTTTCACATCAGGAGGACTTCCCAAAGAACTTCACAGGATATCCTGTAAAGTGAAGTGACTGTGTGTTTTGTGGGTGAAAATAAAGACAAAGAGAAAGAAACAAAATGGGATCCATCTCATTTGCAGCATGTCTTAATGGCTTTGCTTTAAAAATATAAAATTCCCATCAATCCACATCAATAAATATGGTAGAGATTGTTTTTGGGGGGTGAAAAAACAACAGTATTGCTCTCAATGAGTGAGTGCATTTGCTGCCATTATTTTCAGGCCAGCGTATAATTAACCCAGGAACCAGAAGCAATTCATAGCCTTCAAGAGGCAATACAAGCTATGCTAATTGTGCAGAAAGCATGATATTCATACAGTACCAAGAAAGATCTCTCAATTCTCTACAAGATTAGAACTATCAGATTTTCCACAACGCCTTTTCTCACATTTTTTTGTGCATGCAGGCACTGAACTGGAAAATCTTGCAAAAGAAATCCAAGCCAGAAGCGTGAGAAAAAAAAGATTAGCGAATAGTTGAGCCATTCGATCATTTCCTTACCTTGGCAGGCGGTCTCCTTCTCAGCAGGTTCATATCCAGAAGAACAGGTACAATCGCCAACAGGAACCATCCACTCCCCATCCCCATTGCAGTACAGCTTCAGTGGGACGGATACCTCGACGGCATTCGTGAGACACGTGCCTGGAGCGATGACGAGTGACGTGGCCTCAGCTCCGGTGACCGTTTCCGGAAAGACCGCGAAGTTCGCAATGACAGACGGGCACTTCTTGTAGAAGACGCGGACGGAGATGAGCGACATGCACGATCCCAGATCCTGGAACGCTAGGTAGAATCCATTCCTGGATAAAGGACCGAAGCTTCGGATCTTCACGTTGACTCTGCCGTTCTCCAGTTTGGAAAAGCTCTCGTCCGGCGCGATGGTGTCCACTTTGACATACGGATTCTCCATCCAGAACGGAGTCGTCGGGGTGGCCGAGTCAGAGTCCGACTCGTAGTAAAATAAATTAAACGTTTCCTTACAGGAGCCGGGGATATTTGGTATGCTGTTGCAGTCCCGAACGGTGAACTTCATCTCCACGTAGACTCTCTGAACATCTCTGCGTGCTATGTAAGTAGTCCGAAGCCAGTTATTCTGGTTGGCTTCCATCACGTTACACACCTGATACGTACGGATAGGGTTCATTCCATCGTCGTACCCGCTCACCTCTTCCCACTGAGCAAAGCAAGAAAGAACAGATTTGTAACAACAGCCAAACATAAATCGGATTTTTAATAAGATTCCCTTATAAGACGCAAGTCGTGTCAATGGAGCTGCCCAGTATCTGGAGACAGCACAGTCATTAATGGAAACATGTCCTTGATGTAGAATTTGCCCTTTGCAGCCCTAAACCTATATCCACCTGTTCTGCTATCTTGGAACATCCAAAGTATTGTTCTGAGTTTAGTTCTCATTTTGATTTAAAATCTTATATACTTCTAGGTGGTCCTATCTATGATGTCTGTTTGCGAGATCGAAGAACCCTAGCACGTTTATTGGTTCCTTATAGCTCATCTGTCTTAACACTGCTAATCAGCTGAGGCTGAATTAGCTAGGGTGGGTGTTTAGGAAGGATGAGGTCAAATGGGTTGAAAGGCCTTCTGCACCCAAAAAACAATCTAGTGAAATAATCGCACTCCAATTCTAAATTGCACTGTGGATCTCTCTGCAAATGATGCTAATTCACCCACTCTTTTTTCTCAAAGTACATCGTCACCCCCCGATTGACAGCAGCTTGAAGGCATCGCTGTTCTGTGCAACACACGAAATAAATCCTTACGATTACAGTACATGATATTGAAAAAGTGGTTGCTACGTGCAGTGAAACACTCTCAGGGCTACAGCTGTAAATAAGGCCCCCATTTGATTTGATTCAGCACAGGTGTGTGCATATGTATCCAATAGCAATTTTCAAATATTTTAGGCCGATCCTTACTCAAATGAAATATCCAGCTTCCAGCCCGGTGTTTATCTTTCTGATTGGTATGGTTTTATATCAACAAATGTCGCACACAGGACCACTCCACTGCAACAAAACAAAATCCACTGCGAATTCTTGTAAGCCGCTGAACTTTAATCTGCGTGGCTGGCATCTTAAAGCATAAATTGATGCTGGATGTCAGTGGTTTAAGACATCAACGTGCTTGCAGCCATCAAAAATTCTGGATTAACAAAATAGTAGTTAGCTGTTTATAGTCACACGTCCCATTGAGAGGGTCTGGTTACGTCTGTCTGGTGCAGAAGGCCTTATTGCTGAAGTGTCCCGTTCCCTTGGAGGAACCCATGTGGTGAACAAGTGAGACAGCAGATTCTTTTCAAATGTTTGGGGTTAAAGGTTAATTAATACCAAGGCTGGGCACACACTGAATAGTGCATGTAATTGTTGGCATTCTCCCTACATATCTACAGTCACTACACTTTACAGCATATCCTGTGAAGTGCATGAAGAAGTTCTCCCAATGTGAATGGTATAATATAAAATTCAAGGGTTTTATTATTTTTATCAAATGAGAGGATTATTATTATTATTACCTCCCTATTCCTACGCTCCCTGCCCTCCACTCATCCCCAACCCAAACTCCAGACTGTCTAGAACTATGGGATGTCCTCCCGACGGGAAAGGCGCTGTACAAATGTAACTTGTTATTGTTGTCTTACATTTTGAGGCAAAGTTGTCCTACAGGCCAAGACGAGGTGAATGATTTATATATAAGAGTCTGTATGGCAATTCTAGATGTGTAACTGCATTTCTTGTTACGTGTGGAAGCCAACGCAGAGACGAAATGTTTGTCAGTGACCTTGAAATCATAGCTAATAATGTAGAGAAGATTAATTATGTATTTGTACTTAGTAACCTAGCTTTTCTTTCTCTATTCAGAACTTGTACACCTGTTCAAACAGTCAGGCTCCTTACTTGTACTGTCAGAGAGCAAATGTACTGTGAGGTATCCCACTGAAATAACCAAAGCTCAACACTGTGCTTGCAAAGAATATTCCTTGAATGCAATGGACTTAATCCTAAATATTCATTCCTTTATTCAAAGTACTTGGTAAATATTCCACCCTGTACCACTGCCAACAAAAGAACACAGATCCTGGGGAGGGTTTGGTAGAAGGAGAAACATAAAGACTGCATATCATCTGTGGCCATCGATATACCTTGCATGCAAATTCCAACGTTCTGCGCTATTGGCACCAATCAATTATGCAACTGCTTTTGCGACATGAAGCCAGTTTATCTTCCAAGTGAGTTACTGATCCCTTTACTTTACTGTATGGGTTGTTCATTTAATTCCTATTCCAGCAAATTCCAGAGCATAAGCATTGAGGATATATTGTCTGTTCCTTTGATTGCTTTAATGTCTGAACTTCAAAGAACTGAAGCAATAACTATTCCAGATAGTGCTAAACAAACACTTCATCCCTCAAAACAAAAAGCTACACTCGTGACAACAGTGTATTAGGCATAGCTAGCGTAGTGATAGGGTGTAACTGGGTTTCCTAATAGGCCCACATCTTAATGTAATGCAAGGTTGATAATAATCTATGCATTCAAGATAGCACCTTATTGTGTCAGCAAGAAAATCACAAAGGTATCACTTTGTGAAAATCACTGCAAGGGTGTGGACTGTGTATTTGTAAGCAAACTTGGAGTCCTGTGGATTCCTGTAGCTCAGTGGGTGGAGCCCTGTAGCTCAGTGGTTAGAGCACTCGCTTTTCAAGTAATAGACCGGAGTTCAATTCCAGGCAGAGGGCGAAACCTTGGGCAAGTTTCCTTACTCCACACAGAGTCTAATAATAGTCCCTCCAAAAAAACAAAAACAATAATAAATTGGTCATTTTCAATCTACGACTGTTTGTGGGACATTGCTGTGGGCAATTGGCTGCCGCGTTCGCCCACAAATATACAATCAATTCACTTTACAGTGTGTTCTGTGAAGCGCTTTGAGACATCCTCTCGACGTGAAAAGCGCTATATCAAATGCAAGGATTATTATTATTATTATTAAACTGCCATGAAGTGAATGATTCATTTTTATCTGGGGGGGGAGGATTCTTGGCAAAGATACAAGGCATAAACTCCCAATTCAAATAAATGTAGATCCAAGAATAATTCTGTTTCAAAAGGGAATGTTTGTGTTAAGCAAAGTAGTTGAGCACTTATCCAGGATTTGACTGTACTTAGCATTCCCTTCATCAAATATTCCCAGCTAAGAATCCATGGGACAAAATTCACTATGATTGCATTTCCCAATTAACTTCATGCTCATTGGATGTCTTTTCATTGAGCTAAATCTGGTCATTACTAATGTGTTCTATTCTTCTGTACGAGTTTACCGCAATTGATAACTCATTCGTATTGAAATGCATTCTCCATTAAATCCCTCAACAACAAAAAAAATTGGTAACTCAATCCATAACTATTTGGGAGACAATTGACTGCCAAGTTTCACCCACAAAATACACAGTCACTCCACAGTATGATATATTCTGAGAAGCACTTTCAAACATCTCAATGACGTGATAAGGTGCTCTATCAAAGGCAAGGATTATTATTATTATTAATAACGTTTATGCTTCTGTGTAGGTCTGTAGAAAGAGAAAAATGGTGTGCGTTGAAAAGATAAAAGAAACTCAATCATTTTATTCTAAGCAATTTCTGGAGAAGTGTGAAAGAGTGGCTGTAAAATATGTGATGTGACAAACATTTCTAGTGATCATTATCACATCACGTCCATGACCGGTTTCAAAAATATGCATATCCCAGAGTTGGAGCTTACCCCAGTTTCTGGGTGTGCGGTCCATCCCAACTCGGCAGTCTCCAATCTCGAATCCATAAGTGTATCTGTGGACCAAAGATTAAATACGATCAATATTGGCCTTGCGAGGGATTAAAGAAGAGGGTTTGAGAAATAGCCATTACAATGCAGCTCAGACAGGGAAGAATGAGTCGAGAACAGAGTTTTGTCACTGGGCTGCTGAACCCAATAAATCCTGAGCAATAAATCCTCTGCAAAAAGGGAGGAAAAAAAACAACACACAGCATTTTCCAGTTCTGCAAATGCAAGACTCCAAACAGATTAAAAAAAAGCTGTGTTTTTGTCAACATTGCTTCCGAGTCTGAAAGCTGAGAGTTATCCGCAGAATATATTCCAATCTATGCAAAATGCAACCTGGGGTCTCTTAGCAAATGTGAAACGGCGTGTTAAAGCAAGGCAGAGCCATAAATTGCTTTGGACAGCAGTTAGGGTCAAAGTCACATGAGGATTTAACAAATGGATCCAGCTCATTTACATTGTCTCATGCTTACAGCAGAGAACAGGGCGGCTGCAAATCAGTTGAAGACAGCAGCGGAGTGATGGGGGTGGGGGTGGTGGGAATGAATTATTTGACCATGTGTGAGGAAGAACAAATTGACATCAGCTGCTCGCTCAGTTTGGCCATTATGCGCTTCAATCTTTGCAGGTGAAGAGTTCTCGTTCAATGTTTGATATTTAATATTGAAACAAGCATTAGACTGGCCTGGCTTGTTATGAGGGAGATGATCATTCTGCGCTGTCTATAATAAGAGTATAGACTGTTGATTCATTGATTTCACACCGCAGACCTCAAATCTCTTCGATGCAGCCTCGGAATTGTGGTCAAATATAGTCCAGAAATAACAGTGTCTTGCAAATCCAACTCCAGTCCCTGCATGTGCGTGCATGTACACAGGTTGCCGTGTATGTCTGTATCCTACAGAGGTTAAAGTCTCCGTACACACACACACATTGACTGATATACAATATTCATCTATATGTTGGTGAATTATAAGAAAGATTTTTTTCTACAACTTAAACTCAGGAAGGGAACAGAGCACCCAAGCTGAAAATTAACAATCTGAGATGTCACAGCGGAGTTCCTGGGGACAAAATGCGGTATGTGATATTATCACAAAACGCATTTTCCACACTGTTAGAATCAAAAAGGGCATTTCCTTAAGAGCGCCTGAGTTTTAGACCAGCTATCCGAACAATTTGGTACACCTATAATCGCGAAACACCTCAAACAGACTTCACAGGTTACTGATGTAATAATAATAATAATCCTTGCAATAATAAAACTCCGTACCCCCATCACACCAGTTCTTGGCAGGCTCCACTGGCTCCCAAGTACCGAATGGATCCATTTCAAGATCCTCTCACTTGTTTTCAAATCCCTTCATGCTCTCGCACCTAACCTTACCCAGTATATTCTGTGAAGCGCTGTAAAGTGCAGATGCAGCTATAAGCAAACAGAACAGGCAATGTGGGCCTAGAGATGACCCTTACAAACGGGCAGGAAGTGAATAACCCATTGTTAGATTGAATTCTGTCGATAGGTCTATTGCAGAAGAGCTGAGAAGGAAGGAATAAGTGCAAGCATTAGCAAACACGCTGTCTAATTAATTATGTATGGTAACTGACGAGCAGGGTCTTGCCAAATTTTCCTGTTGCCTAAACAAATCAATTAGAGCCATAATGAGATGTAAATCGACAGGAACTCTCAGTCAATGGGATCAAGTGACATGTGACGGATGCCTGTGTAAGCAAATTTGAGCAGATCAGGTTGCTGTTGTCCAACTGCTTAACAATACAGACAATACAAAGTGCGGACAGAACAGGCTGAGGCTGCAAAGAAAGGAAGGACACAGGGGGGAGAGAAGAGAGAGATAAATAATTCTGGTCTGTTCCAGAGAATGAGCAATGGAATTGGAGTTTTGGGGGGGAAGGAGGGGCAGGGTAATATCATTAAGCTCAGCTACATTCTGTACAACATCTGTGTTTCCCCCCCTCTGCCCCATGAACATCAGGTGAGCCTTTGTGAGGTAGCAAAATACACTGTTTAATGTAGAGTGCTATGTGGCTAACCACATGCTGTTTAGCACAGAGCAAAGGCTTCGAACAAAGGCAAACCACTGCAGGATTTTCTTGGTTCCCTGAAATTTCCTCCGATTTCAATTCTTTTTAGCGACGTTTGGAACCCTGGGCACAGTCAGTGAACGTGGGCGCAAGTTAATTAGCCAGCAGGGTGCTTAATGAATTCAAATATTAATCCACTAAGGCCTCCGTTATTCCATTCACATCTTTTAAAACACGTGCAACTTCTAAAAGACACAAATTAGAAACCGTAGAAATTTACAGCACAGAAGGAGACCCTTTGACCCAGCATATCTATGCTCGCTCTCAAATAGCCATCCATTTAGTCCCGTTTTCCTGCTTTTTCCCCACACCCTTTTTATACATCTCCTTTTCGGATATTTATTTAATATCCTTATTGGGACATCTTAAAACTTTTTTTTGCAGAATTTTGCTCCCTTCTCTTTATACAATGGAGCCCAGGATCTTTAACATCCACCTGAAAAGGCAGGCAGTTTAACAGCTCATTCAAAGGACGGCACCCCGAACAAAGCAGAGCTCCTCTACTGGAACATCAGCCAAGACCATGATTCAAAGTCCCCGACTGTGGTCCTGAATCCATAACCTTCTGGCTCGACAATGGAGCTAGGCTAACACCCCAGTACGAGTCGTATTCCCTATTCGGGAGGGGAAGAAAACTAAAAAAAAGGAAGGAAACAACTACAGTTGTCAAACAACTTATGAGATACAACTGATGCCTTTCGTCTGGATTGATAGTCTAACGACGGTGGTTGTGTTGTTATGAAATGCATTGCGAATCAAACCTATTCCGCATCCACTTTTACAAATCACATTCCGTGATGTCCTGGGCATCGCGCAAATAATCAAACTCGTGGCCTGGTTTGTTCATCGTCTCCTCTCTTTAGTTCCTTTTTCAAATTGTTCGGCAGAACGTAAAGCTCTGGGGTCCACGATTTGTCCAGTTCAAAAATCAATAGTCCTCGCTGAAAGAAGGTAGCTGCCGCACAAATCACAGTTCAAATCCATTTACTTTGCGAGATATTGAACTGGAAAGTTGGCTGAATTGAATTTTAAAGCGATCGCTTTTTATTTCTGCCCCGCTCACGCTCCAGCCTGTCAATCATCAAGTCATTCCACTTGCACATTGGTAGATCGGGGCCAATATCAATTATTTCAGCTGAATGCAGGTCATGAAATTGTTTATTTTTTATGTTGCGATTTATGTGTCTGTGTTTGTCCATGAGGGAGAAGGGGATAGAGAACAAGAAAGGTATTGGAGAACGGATTAAGGAGGGGTTGGAGGCTTGTGTGGAGTATAAACACCAGCACAGACTAGTTAGGTAGATTAATCCGTTTTCGTAAACACGGTGTGTTTATACACATAAATATATGTACACCATATATTTATACATATATTCTTTTCCGCAAGTATCGGGAGAGTTTGACATTCTTGGTCTAAATTTTGTACTACAACAAACTTTTTTTTAAATAATGTATTTTTTTGTGGCTAAGATAGGGAAATATTTAAGAGTTTGTTTCAGCTCAGGAATTTTGCTTGCTTGAAAACTTCAGCAATAATTTTACCCACAGCAAATAATTACGGAGCCGAACAGCCACAGACTGAATTTTCTGGGGGATTAAGGGAGAAACAAACATTTAGTGAGTCAGGACGAACCAACAGCATGCCCTCACTTCTGTACAACCTTTGCAAAATAAAGCTAAGGCTTTGACTGAAAGAGACCTGTAATAGCAGTGAGGTTTTCAATGAAGGAGACAGGATAAAGGTTTGGAGAACTGGCAGTAGGAAAAGGTGAAAGGTATCATAAGGTCTCAAAATACATGGCTTACGCCAAACTAAACGCAGTAGCAACCGTCAGCAACATAGCACAACCAGGGGAAGAGTTAAAGGAAAAAGGAAAAGTTAGATACATCCTGCAAGAGATCTGTCCTGTGGTTTTCAATTCGCTCCCATCAGGTTTACGCAAAGCCCAAGTGTGCCATTCTGTGCAAATGGTTTGTGACAAGCCTCAGTTCCTGCACTGGAAGTCATTTATCTTCATCAGAGGTGAAGAAATGATCCCTGACTCTTGATTATACTTACCATGTGTCTCCAAAGCAGTCAGATTTGGAAAAGGTGGAGGCAGGGGAAAAAGGGGGTAATGTAATGACACTTGTAAAAGATGCCTATCAACTAGGTAAAAAGGAACTGAGTTCTTGACAAACACTCTCTGCAGAATAAATCTTGACAGGATTGATGAAGACTTTTTATCCATATGTCACAGTGGGGAGACTTGGCTGAAATTTTACACCTCAGACCTAATGGATTTATAATTTGAAGCCTCTAAAATCATGTTCAGCTATTTGTAATCCAGATAAATTGTATTATTGCATTGTCCAGATCTCCCTCCGCACAGACGCACAGACCGACACGGTCCAGGGGCTTTTTAAATTGCACAAGCTTTGTGCAATATGTTAACAGACTGAATTAGTTTAATTGACTCAAACATGTACAGAATCTGAAAGGGATCGCTTCGAAATTAAAAGTGGTATAAAACCTTGTGCGATCAAGCCTTTGCTAATTAATGCCCCCAACGTGCAAAAGCAGAAAAAGCCCATCCAAGTGTTCAGATGTTAATATCTCATAGGAATATTGGAACCCGAGTAACATGTTCCGCCATTCTATTCTATTTCACGGATAGCAACGAAACAACTAGATTCCAACTGCATCCGACGCTGGTATAAACTCGAAGCTGGGATTCATGTTCCCTTTAAACTTTCAGCCCGGCACTTCTGAAACAAACTGCTCGCTCCTCTTGTTTTATTGTTAAATTCTTGATCTTTGCTGTGCTATCTGATCTCACCTAGGGGCAGTGACATACGCTCTACAATTGGGGTTCGTGCTCATGAAACGGGCAAAAAGATCTCGCTTGCATGAATCAGCTTCTCG